GCATTTGTGGAAACCCGCCCATGTATCTAGCGAACTGCTCCGATAAGATTTGGTTCTGAGCTTGGATTTGAAACTGTACCGGATTTTGACATACTAAACCGGGATGGTTCTGTGTAGCTGGCCGGTTCATAACCGGGAATTGAGGCAATTGCATGTGACTCTGCATAGCCATCTGATTAATGTACGGAGATGACTGTACACCGGGAAACATCATCGGAGTCGCGGCTGCTGCAGCCGCCGCAGCCGCCATTCCACTTCCCATCCACATTACTTGGAGTTGCATTTGAAGTGATTTCAAGTAATCAATGGCTTCATCCAAAATAGAAGCTTTATCTGTCTACAAAACCAAAAACATTACATGATTAATCTCTAACGATATAATTTCATATTATGGTTTCTTTGAGCTTATATGTCTTAAGAGGGAACTTACTTTACTGCAATGAGGTATTAGTTCTTGAAGAGCTTTCATTCTCTCGTTGATTCGATCTCTCCTTCTCTATATAATAAACAAAGATGATACAAATTTAAAACTCATAGGAGTTTCATATTAAATTAACATAATTTGAAAACTGAATTGTTATGTATACCCTTTCAGAGAGATTGTGAACTTCAGCTGCACGGCTTCTTCGGGTAGATCCTGACCTTTGGCTTGATTTGTTACCCATGGTTTGATTATCATCATCCGCTGAGGTCAAACGTATATCGGATTGAGACACAGATTCTTGATCAGTTTCCATTACATGTTTTCTTTTACGGTCAATGGTTACGCTTCTTCCACTACCGGTTTCTTTGCTGTTTCTTCCGTAGCTGCAACCAGACGAGCCACCAGACAAAGTATCGTGTTTATCTTCGATGTTCTTGCTTCTATCACTCATAGGAACCGGAGGAGGAGTCACTTGATGATCATTCGTAGACTGGTTGCTTCCACAATGGCTCGGTCCGACGGTTAAAACAGAGGATCTAAACTTAGGAGGAGCCATGGCTCGATGAGCCTCGTGTTTAACCGTCTCTTCGATTGTATGTGGCTTCTCAGGACGATGTGGACCGTCGAGGTGATCGATCGAAGAGAAGAAATGCGAGGAGAACTCGGATTCGAAGGGGTCAACGACATCATCGGGAGGATATTGGATCCAAGATACGGTTTCTTGATCTTCAAGAAAGTTATTGTTGGGTTTTGGTAATGTTTCTTGGTTAGCAAGAAAATTGTTGTTGGGTTTTGGTAAGGTTTCTTGCTTGTGGTTTTGGACTTGTTGGACTGGTGGTTCTCTACGAGCTTGGCTTTGTAAAACCACTTGACCATCTCTCCATAATAATTCCACTAGTTCATCTTCTGGTCTGTCCAAATATGAATGAACACATATACACATACAAAAATTTAGCTATCATGTGAAACTGATAATTATATAATATTGAATGGTATTATTATACACATACCTGATTGATCTTTTGTTAGTGGACATGTGAAAATTATCTTCAAAATTCCAATCAGCAAACAGTTGTTCCATGTCAGATCTGTGGAGACACATGCGAATACTGTATATTACTTTTTTTTATATTACTTTTTTTGTAAGTGAATAAAAAAAACTAATAATTTGATTTATCATTAAGAAAATGATTAAGAGGCTCTTTTACACTTAGGATGATGAAAGCAATCAACTTCGAAAGATTATTCCCAAATCCAAACAGTTCAAATCATTAGAAAAATAATTAAAATAAACAAATCATCTCTCCAACAATCAAGGAGGATCGGAAATGATTTAATCAAAAAAGGAACTAATTCCATATATAGTAAGCTCTGAAACTCATAAAACCCAAAACTTTAAAAGCAGTTACCAGATTTAGAAGTCTCTGAATGAAAGAAAGATTTTAACTTATCTCTGTTGTCTGCTCCACACGTAATACAATCTCGAGCTAGGAGAGAAAAATAAAAGAAGCT